CTCCAAAAATTTCTCCTTTGACATAATTTCTGAATACAACCTAAAGGGAAACAATACAGGAGAATTTCTCTGCTTGGCACTTCTATTGAGGAGAACTAGAGGTCAGCTGTGTTACCCAGACTGATGCCTCATCTATAGTAATTCACCAATCTACAGTAGTATCCTCCAGAGACAACTTGCAACTTGCTAGCTGGGGCTCTTGGAATCTATTGAACAAACATGCAGAGAACCCCAAGTTGAGAAAAGTTCATTTCTGGTACATTTCTTGACCCATGTCATGGCATCATGACATGTATCCTGCCTGCAAACATCTGCTTCCAAGTCCTACAAGCTTCTCTTCTGCCCCTGTTTTTTTCCATGTCTTGAGTTCCTGCTGAAGTTTCCCTACTCTGCTCCAGTGGCAAAACCCTTCTAAGGCAACCAACCATGTTTTGAAAATGGCTATCCTGAAATAGAGTTTAACGGATGGCCATTTAAATTTGCATTTGTTTCAATACAAAAAAACCTTTGAAAAGGACATACAATTAGTTCAGCTACTTCAAAGCCAGCTAGCAATTGCTTGGTTGGCTTTGGGAATTGGTTCCACTCCAGCATCCATTCTCAGCGCAATCAGTAGTGGTGCTCCTTGGCTAAATCCCTATGCAGCTGGGCATCATTGTCTAGCACCCATCATCTGGGACTTTCCCTTTTCTGAATCAGGTGAAGAATTTGCCAGAGCCAAGCTGAGCTCCAGGCCAGCGATTCCAGTGATATGGTTTGAAAGCGCATGACATGCCCTTGTGGAAACTATGTTGATTTAGGACTGGTGTATGTGCCTTTATAGCAGGGACAAGCAATCTCAGGCCCACAGGCCTAATAAAGGATTGAGAACTCCACCAGTTCCGTGGAGATTTCAAGTGAATCCTGAAGTGCCCTTTCCCTTCCCATCAGTGCTCCTGCTAATGCGACTGGTATAGACCTTCCTCCATCAGAGGAAGTTCCTCCTCCTCTTCCTCCATCTCCATGGAGCACTCTTCCTTATGCAGGAGAAGATGAGGCACATGGGCACTTATCCCCAATCTCTGCTAAAACGTGGGTGTCATCAGGAATGGACCTTTCATCGAAGGATTCCATTTTTTAAACTCACTCTCTCCCCAACATACGATCTACCCCACCACAGCTAGTAGGACTAAGTCCACAATGCTAAGTACCTGAGCCACAAATGGTTAACTCGGTACTGACCAAGTGAAGACTGAATTCTAGATTAGTTCAGCTTGGTTCATTATTCCAAGCTGGAAGTTTTCCTTCCTCTTGGATAGACCATTGTTCTGACAATATACTCCTTCATAATAGGAAATCAACAGAAATGAGCTCTTAAGGGGTTGAAAGAGAGAACTGACAGGATTCAAAACAAGGTTCCCGTGGCTAAGGCAAAGCTTTTCACCTATACAGGTTCTCAAAAATCCCATTAGGTATTCATGAGAGAAGAGGACTTCTGGGAGCTTAGACAAGTGAGAACCTGACATGCTGCTCCCGTCAGTAGATACTTGGGAATGGGGATTTAGGGATCATTGGAGCAGAGACATGCTCCACTTTTCCCAGTTCATTCATTTTCATAGTGCTTCAAAAACCTTATTTATCCCAGCTTTCACTCCTGGAACAACTGTTTCCTCCAAAATCAGGCTGATACAGATGCTTACATAGCAGAAAGATATTTCTTTTGCTTAGCCATGAGATTTGCTCACCTCATTCTTTCCTTAAGGCTACTAATAGTCATTCTTTATTTATCGTCCTCGATAAGAAGGGCCTTGCTTCTTTACCCGCCATTAGCAAAAAGGCTTAGAATTAATTTTCAATGCCATGAACCTCTGGGACCAGTTCAAAAGAAATGGATAATGACAAACAATATATTTTCACACTTCTATCAATCCCCCTTATTCCTCCATTCTCTGAATTGCTTCAGGACTTACTCTGGAGCCATACATACATATTTTTCCCCTCTAATTACTTTCCTTCCCTTTTGTGAGTTGGGGAAATAATATTGGTTTTGCCAACCATGCAAAAAATCTTTAAACTCATTTCAGGCACCATGTAAAGTTTTCAGGGTTTCCAGGGATTGGATGGGTCCCCCAAATGTTAACACAGTAGGAGGGGGAAAGCTCTCAATTCCATGGGGATTAATAACTGATAGCTCTATTTTATTTTAATCCAATCACTATTTTTGTCCAAACCTTCCAACATTTTGGAGTGCAACTCACGGCACATTATTCAGAGACCCAACGTGTTCCTTCATAAAAATGAAGTTACACACTTCTGCATTGAGAAAATAGATTCCTAGGGACTTGAATCCTCCAGCTGAATTAGCTTTTGAATTGTTTGGGCAGTTGGGAGGGGACCTCTAAACCTTTTTAAAAATCAGTTCAGAAAATCAGATGCAATTCAATGCTTTATACTGAAGCATCTGATTGCCTCTGTTTCCCAAATCATTTCAAGTTGTCAGATCAATTATCTGAATTAAGTGACAAGGCAATGGGATCTTAGACAATATCCACACTCTTAATCATTACTGTCTTTATGCCTTGACAGAATGGAATGATCTTTACCGTCTTCTAGTGTCTGTAAGGAAGATACATTCCTGTTGAAAGAATCTTTACCCCATAAATCTATTAGATTCAGATTCTAAGAATCTAGCCAGGCAACATTGAAGTAGGATCTTGTATTCCCTCATTGAAATAAGTGCTGGTACAGTTTTCTGAAGGTGGTGCCTAGATAAAATCAATTTCCAAATTCCCAGATTTATTTATTTAAGCCATTCATACGGTCACCCCTCTCATTACAGCATAGCAAGAGAGGATATTAGCAGGCTATTTCAAAGTGGGGGGAAAAATTCCCAATTTAAGATGCATTTAAAGTTTTTAAAGCATGTTTTTCCAAAATGGTTGGAGGCTAAAAACAATATGGACTCCTACAAAGTAACCTTCTGTTATACAAAGATGCTTATTTTTCAAGAAGTATACCAAAAATGAGGACGAAATCACAGAAACACTCCATTTTTAAATAAGATCAAAATCTCTTGTATCTGTATGATCCTGGAATGATAAACTACATAAGCTGATTATCGTTTTACAGGTACAAAGCATACATGCATCTCATAGAATCATGATCTATGAGCATCTAATCTAACCCCTTGCTCAGTGCAGGATCTGCTAAAAAAATTCCATATATATTTGGAAACTCTTGTGACCAACCACCTCCTGCAAGAAATAAAAGCCTTCTGCAGCTATTTGGAACAGTAAATGAAAAAATGCTTTTTGAAAATAGGAGCCCATTAATAGAATATTTTGACAATGCCTTATCTAGTTACATTCAACTCTGTATTTACCCAAGAATGTCTACTTATTAGTGGGAAAGAAGCGATTTATTCTAGATTACTCAACAGGGATCGAAGATGAGCAATGGGATGGAAAAGGAAGGGAGGGATAATTATTTTGTTTCATCATGAATTTTTTTAAAGATCTGCCCTCTCTCCCTACAAATACAAATGTTATTAATGGAGTTAAAGAGCAACCGATTTCCCCCTCCCCTTTTAAATGTCATGAGATTCTCCACAGGATTAATAATTGCCAAAAAGCAAACAGAGGTCTGCTGTCCTAACAAACTGAGCCAAGCCCGCAAGATGGGGGCCTTCCCATCATCTCCCTTCCTTATTCAGGGAAATGAACTGATCCTGGGAAAGGAGATCCACAAAATAGGAAAGGTGTTTCAAGTTTGGTATAAATCAGCTCCCCGCCATCCACAAAAGACTGTTCCCTTGGAAGCTTTCCAGCTGGAGCAGACTGCACCCATCCACTTCTAATGCTTCTAACCCAACTTCTGCGCTTCTAATACTTGAAGATAATGGACCATCGTAGTCAGGGTGTTAGGGTATCCGTCCTTCTGCTTTATCCAAAAAGCCTAGTCATTTCAAAGGGCATTTCTTGAACTCTGTCGTCCTGTGCCTTACAAACCCAGAAACCCTTCTTCCGCCTCTCCTCAGCCTTGTCCTTTCAAGAAGGCAACACCCTTTCACAGCTTCTTCTCAAAGCCTCGTGGATGCGTTAACCTGTCTGCCTCCAGCATAAAACTCTTCCCAAATAAAACCTGGGTAAAAAGCTTTCCCTTGTTTCAACTGAAAAGGGGGGAAATGTCACCACTCCTAGATGACTAAGCTGAAAACAAACGAAGCAGCAAAGACTGGCGGCACTCAAATCCACAGCCCCTCTTTAGAGCTCCTTAATGGAGCCCAAAGGCAAAATGGCTTCTAAGCCAAACTTCTCCCTCCCCCCGCCGTAAACAAATGCATTCAAAGCACCTAGTTTCCCCCAGATCTTATAGTACGGTATTGCTGGATCTGAGAAGTAACTCCCTGAGTGTTTTTCCAGTAAATCTGAAAGGATATTTGACTCCCAATTATGTAACCATAGCAGCAGCTCAATTATTCTCTCCCCCCACCATAAATTATATATCTGAAATGGAGAAAGCCTGGAGCAACTCAGAGGGGGGTGGATTCTGATCTGGAAAAATGTGCCATCTCCTTCCAGTTCTAGTACTTAGAGCAGAGCCTTGAGGCAGGGCCTTTTTTTAATCCAAAGCTGGTCTCTTGGGGAAAACATTCCAATTGATGGATTCTAGCATAAAGCAAAGCAGTTCCCATAAATATGAAGTTTGCCCAGCACTCGTTACAACTTTCCAGACCAACCTTATCATCCAACAGCATATAACCTAGTTTTGAGATCCCAGAGAAACAAAACCTTTAACAAAAGAGGAGTTATGGGATCCCTGCAAACTTTTTAATGCAGCGTTCCCAAAAAAGGAACCCTACCGAGTCCAGCCCAAGTCCTCTGAAATCCAAAATGCTGTCATATGATGGCCAACTGAGAAGATCCTAAGCAGGATATGGGAGTGATATACTTATGGCTCTCCCCTCCACAGTATGTACTTAATTGGATGGCCTTTGCTCATCTGGCATCTGCAAAACTTACATTATAGAGGATATCGGTCCATCCCTCCATGGTGATGCACTGGAAGACGGTGAGCACAGCAAACAAGATATTGTCAAAGTTGGTGATCCCAAAGTTGGGACCTTCCCAGTATTTTTTGCATGTCCCTTCTTCACAGCGCCTGGCCGGCCAGTCTTCACCACATGGGAAATCTCCCAGTCTCTCACCTGCAGAGAAAGTGGAAAATTCACAAGAAAGATGGCAAAACTGAATACGAAGCTTAACCATTGTCCTCCCTCAGAAGCAAGCTAGAGCAAACATTTTGCTTTCTTCTGCCCCGAGTAACTCTAATTTCCATATCTGCGTGAACTTCTCTCCTAGCTTGATGTTCTCCAAATGTGCTGAACTGCCGTTCCCACAATCCACATAACACCAGAGGCGATGGGCTTAGAATCCTAGAGTCGGTGGGGGGCACTGAGTCCTCAGGTCCACTCCCCTGTTCAGTGCAAGAATCCAGATGAAAACATCCCTGTCAGATGGATATTCGTCTTCTGCTTGGGCACATCTAGTGAAGGGGAGGCCATCAGCTGACTGGACTACTGGTTCCTCTGCTGAAGTGCTCTAATAGGCTAAAGTCAAGTCTACTGTATGAGACAAAGCTAGAGCTAATGCAGATATATAGGTCAGTCTTTGGGACAATAGCAGAGGACTCCACTTGAAGAATGAATAGCCTCCAAAGTGAGCCAGCTTGCCAGAGTTTGAAAAGTGCCGAAATACTCCTTGCCACTTAAAAGTAAATTTCTCCAAAAGATCCTTAATACAAGTCTTTCAATTGCATAACTTAATGTAATGTAAGACCTTTGAGTCTTACTCTGTCTGAACTGTCCACCTGTGGCTGCACAAAAGGTCACACTATCTCAATGGCTGTGCTGAGAAATGGATACCATCTGTGAAGATCCTGGAGCAGACCTTTATAACTCCTCTCATCAGAATGAGCAGGAAGAATTTCCAGTGCAGCAGGATTGTTTATCATATACATCTAGAAATCAGTCATTTATCTTTCCAGCTAGAACAGGGAGGGGAAAGCTTTCAGGTCGTGAGGGCCACCACTCAGCCTCCTGACCTTCTGGATGGAAGGAAGGTTCATGCAAATAGTCCCGTGCACTTGGTACCAAGGACAGACAAACTTTTTTTCCTCTCTTGCTTGGTTTTTAGGAAGGGCAATGTTTGAATGATAATCACTGGAGAAGATGTGATGGGTTTATTTTGGTAGCAAGATTAAAGGTGGGAAAAGGAAGACTATAGGAGTCAAGAGATTATCTTCACCCTTACACCAAAGCCATACAACAGTGCATTACCAACACTGGTCTGTTTGGTTGGCCAAATTTCAGCATTGCAATCTCAGAGTGGCGTAGGGATTGCAGATGAGGGGACTTGGGGCCACTGGCCGCCCACCCCTCATCTAATCAGCAAGATCACTACCAAGGCATAGAGCAGTGTTATACTGTTTAAAACAAAAAACTTGCATTGTGTTCATTCAATTCTCGTGAAGATAAAACCAGAACCAGTGGCCTGCCTGAAACATGCAAGGTTGTATTCTGTTTCTAACTGTGTGATAAAGCCACTCACCTATTCCTTGAGTGTTATAAGCATAAGAGATCTGGCAACCGTTTAGCTCAGCATTTTCTCCCACTATGTGCCCTCCCCCCAAAAAGCTGTCTTGTTAGACTGGTCTTCCCATCACCCACCTGTTTCATTGGAGAAGCAGGCTTTATGAAACTTGCCCATGTAGAATTCCAATCCAATGATAGCAAACATCACAATGGCAAAGAAAAGGAGGAGGCCAATCTGAAGGAGAGGTACCATCGCCTTCATGATGGATTTGAGAACAACTTGTAAACCTGAGCAAGAAAAAAAAAATCAGTCCATGGAGAATCTTTGCAAAGAGAGGATTCCAACCAAGAAGTATCTCAGGAAGGAAGCAACATTCCCCAAGCATTGCTAAATCATAGCCTAGCTCTCTGGGGTTTTCCACCAGCTTGGATTCAAATCCAGACCTTGATTTGGCTGCACAGTTGCACCCAAATCATCCAGATCTCAGGCACAAAGACCGAATCTTCACAAGGGCCTACCCAAGGGTGCTGACTTCTCAAGCAACTCCCCCAAGGAATATTTCAGCAATTTCCTGGCAGAGGAACCCTCACAAAACTTTAGCAAATCTACAGTATCACCAAATGTTGACAATTTAGCAATTTCTGAGTGATGCAAATGGGGTGGGGTACTCTTTAACTACAGCATTTGTAGGAAGAAGAGAAACCAAGTCAACAGCTGAAAGAGAAAGGAATAACACCCAAAGTTCTACAAAATTGAAGCACCAGGTCCTAATCCTCCCCACTCCCCATTTAATTGCTTTAGTTTGTCTTCATGTCTTTTCTTGGCTAATCCCCAAAAGAGACATCAGTCAGTGGAAGCATCAATCAACCCCTATGTCCCTCCTTGACATGAGTCATCTTTTCAGTTAAACTGAGGGAGACAAGCTGAAGTCAAGGAGGCTAATAATTTTAGGCAGAAAGTGCGGAGCCAACCAGAGCTGGTCCCAGCCAACTGCTGAGAATCTCCTTGGCCCCCAAGAGCACTTTTTCAGGCCAAGAAACGTCGGTGCTGAAGCTCTACATTGCACAGGTATGGAGTTAGCATCTTTTCAACAACTTTTTAAAAATGAAATAGTTGCCACCGAGGGCCAGAAACTTCCTCTCTATTTGATTTGGCAATGGGCCCAAATGGGTGGAAGCACTTCATCAGAACTGGCTGAGCACAAAAAGGTGAGGAGTCTGATCTGGTTAGCCTTGGGTGGGAGACCTCAACAGGAAATCCAACATTACAGGCTAGACTGGGAGGATGTAAAAAAGATCCCATAAGACGCACTGGCACAGCATTTCCATATCTGTGCCAAGAAAACAACAGGGACACATTCGTATAGTCATCAGAAGTCAAGCTCATTTTCAAGTAGACTTGACTTTATTTTCACACCATGAGGAGCTTCAGAGAACACCCACCCCAGCTGAGCCAAATAAGCACTGTCCATTGGAAGGAGAGGAGGTGGCAAGGCATGATGAGAATCGGAATCCAACTTACACCACCCCAGAAGTTCCCCCACTTACTTGGGATTCCTGAGACAAGTTTCAGTGGTCTCAGCACACGGACAGCTCTCAGCGTTCGAAGGTCAAATTGGGTCCCAGCTGTAGCCAGAATCCTACCAAGGACAAGAGAGAAAAAGAAAAAAGCAGCATTAGAATATCATCTTGCATCTATCCGTGATACAAAAAGGGCCCACAAGGATTTTTCTGGTCATCTCTCAAGGATATTGCCTTCAACGTGTTCCCAGCCCAGAAGTGAGACAGACAAGCTGCTGAAAGGAATTTGAAGCAATAACCACCAGTGCTCCAAGAAAACTCATCTCAGATTTGCACCAGGATGTGGTCCCTTTATCTATCACCTTTGATTGCTCATTTATAAAAAAAGGAGAAGCCAACATATTGTCCAGAAGTTCCTCATCAGACCTCCTCATCCCTGACCCAATAGTTCTCAGATGGCCTTGGGGGTGAAGTTGCCCTTCCCCAATTTCTCTCCTTCAACAGGTTGTCCCTTGACTTCCCAAGGGTAGTTTGAAAAGACAGGTGGAAGCATAGGAAAGGTGGACCTACCAATCTATTGCCACATTCTAGGTAGCAGATGTCCTACCACTGGCCCTTTCTCCTTTTTTTCCCCTATGAAACAGAACTCATTCCCCAAATAACAATGGGTCATAGCAGAAATGGGGCACCAGATACCACCCCACATCCATTTCTAACCCTGCTGCAATTTAAGAGAGTTTAAAATGCAAAACTATGTTCATGCTTGGCGCATTCCCCATCACCAACTTTATGTAAATCCATGTTTATTTCTTTGATTCAAATGCATCCAGATATGTAGGTCTAAAATGGGGGAAAAAATATTTATTGTGCATCTTACAACTAAAGTCATGCCCTTCCAATTAAAAAGAGCTATCCTGTCACATTTATAAAACTGAGGGGTCTAAAACATCTATGCTGCATTTCAGAACAACAAAAATAAGATTTATCTTCTAAGGCAAATCCATGTCGTTTTGCCCTTTCAAAGAATTGCAGAGAGTGAAACACAATCTCCTTTTTGAAATTCATACCGCACCTTGAATGGTGATGCAGTTTCCTAGCTCAAAAACATATCCCAATGCTTCAATACAAATGGAGGGCAACAACCACAATGCAAACCAAACTGCCAATAGAACCCGGGGATAAAAAGGTACGTTGCTGAAGAAAATTGCTTGCACACCAAAACATGTGTGCAAGCAGACACACTCTCAATTGCACACACAATGCGATCCAGCAAAGTTCTTTCCCCAAGCCTTGCAAACTCTTGCAGAAACATGGCAAAACAAACTTAAAATCAGACACTGAGTAATGGAGATAGAGCAAAACAGACACATTGTTCTCATGGCTACACCATCCTACCTCACTAGAATGCTAGCAGCATCTCTAGAAAGTATTTGAAGATTAGAGGAAGCTAGAAGTATTACTCCTATGCATTAGTAAACAGTTCCTTCACAGGTCATGCAACCCAATTCATACAAAGTTCAGCCTTCTATTTCCGCCTGCTTCCTTTTTCCTGGCACTGTCTTACTGGAAACTCTTGGAAAGTCACTGGAATGAGTAATGTTACTTTAAAAAATGAGAAGAAAAGGGAGAAAGAAATTGAGAAGGGAACTGCAAAAAGAAACCGGGTTATGAATCATCTTGGAGTCTTGGGAACTAGTCAGGGTATAAATTTTAGTAAGCTATTAAAATCACCCACATCCCAAGAAAGGATTCTTAGGAACAAATAGAAGGGGTAACTACAACAAGGAGGAAACTGCAAATGCAACCAACAGGTAGAGGAAACTGGTGGATGAAAGATCTGACATCCTTGGGCAATTGCTTGGTCTAATTTCTTAAAAGGTCATAGATACAACTGCCCCCTCTCTTTTATTTAATTTTTTCTTCCACGCCAAAGAACCCACAGCACGTAGCTCTAGCTGGCATTTCAACTTCTTACAATGCCTTCATGTCCATCCTAAAAGCTGCTCCTATATCCAGAGCGTATCCTATATTCTGCCATGCCTGCAAGACCAATACAACACAGGCCAGCTCTCACTCTAGGTTTAACCATTAGCACACTCATTCAGAGGAGTTGAGCTCATGCAGCAGAAGTGGACAGGTTTTCCAATCTGCATCAGGGCCAACCTAGACAGGTTGTCAGAGTCCTGAAATTTCCACCTGCCATTTCGTGACTAAATTCCCCCACCTCGCCCTGCCAACAAAGTTTCTTAAAAAGGAGAAAGACCTGGAGGCTCCCACCTGGACAACACTAGCTTGTCAAGGCCCCATGAATCTATCAAGCCAAGTTATTCTGACCTCCCCTTCCACCATGATTTTGTGCAGTTGAGAATCCTTTCTTAGGACCAACCTGAAAAGCTACAGAGAAGTCCAAGTATCAAGTACAATCCATTGAACAAGGACACAAGTAGCAAGATACACACCACCAAAAGAGAAGCTGTGAACTGACATTATTCAGGAACCTGAAAGCTTTTAAGCCTGAACTTTCACAGCTCCACCCCCAAGTGGAGCACATTCAAGAAGCCCTTACAAAACCCCTACTCATGAGCACAGCCTTACTCCCAAGGAGGTCTTTTCTCATGAGGAACTCTATTGCTGAGATAAGCCCTCCTTGGACCATTGACTGAGTGTCTACCTGCTCTACCAGACAGTGACTGATTTGGCAGTTTCAGTGTGGAGAAGGAATCTGCACGTGCTTGCTTGAGACAGTGGACTGAGAAGGTCTTTCCTAAGTGCAAAGGTTCCCTCTGTTCTTCCTCAAGTAATTGCATGCCACAGCGAAGTGCGGCTTCGATCTTTCTCCAAAAATGAGCTGGGTTTAGAAAGGATAGTATCGGTGTGGCCTGAGTCTTTGGGAGAACTGCATCTCTGTCTCGGTTGCCCTCAGAAAGACTCTTGAGGGGATAAAGGAAAGGAGAGAGAAATGTCAGCCCTTTTCTATCTTATCTGCCCAGGGTTAAAATAATCCTTTGGTGTCACATGGTTGAGAAAGGCAGGGAACCGTCCAAGGAGGAGATCAGAATTTTTCTCTGGCTTGGATGAACCTCCAAAATGGAGAATGAATGAGGGACCTGTTAAAAGTCACCTTGTTTTCAAAGCAGACTTTAACCACTCCTTTAAATTTCCAAGCCTGCCCTAACTAAAATCCTCCAGCAGGCGGAAGATTGAAAACACACTAATGCTCAGCAAAATGAAGGATGTCTTCATGCTCTCCGCCTCAAAAGAGCCACCCTTTCGCTCTCAGTGTTTAACTTTTCCTAAGCTTATTCATTTTTATTTTAAAATTCGGGGAAAGCTTATGGTCTCGGCAGGTAACAACAACCTTGTCTGAACTTGGAAGCTAAACAACACTGTACCTGGAATGAGACACCACCAGGAAATCTAGAAAGGTAGGACACACGGGGAAGTAAAAAAAAAAAAAAAAAAATTCCTGGCAACCTTTTCTGTAATGTTGCCAAGAAAACAACAGAGACACATCCATCAAGGCACCAGGAGCCAAATTTGACTCAAAGGAGACTTTATCCTTTCAAGTTCTTATGAAAAAAATGAATCAACTGAAATTCCAATCATTGGCAAAGACTTCAGAAGCCATCAATCCAGCAATGGGAAAAAGATATTGCTTAGGAATAAAATTAGAAGTTGTAAATTGCTGGAGGAAAGGGCAGATGAATCCAGTCCAAGCTGTATTCTGACTCTGTTTATTAACTGCTGTAAAGGTATAGATCAAAGTGATAACTCTCGGGGTGTGAAATGGGAGATATATGAAGTGTCTCCTGTTGCAATACCTCATATCTTAAATATTAAAGTATTATTTTAAAAGGTAGTGACTAAATGCATTCGCAGTGGCCGAGGAGGACTAGCCACATCCAGCTGAATTTTTTTCCCAAAAGGGAATCATCAGGGAATGGAATTTGTCACAACAGACAGCCCCACTTGGAAATAGGCCTTATTCCCTCCTTGACTCCACTGAACCGGTTCCATGATTGTGTCAGGAGCACAGAAAGACGGTCCTGCGTGAAAAATTTCAGAGGCTTAGTTTGGAGAACAGAAGAGAGGCAAGGCCGTTGTTTCCAAATATCTGAAGGGGTATGATGAAAAGAAAAATGTGGCTGTGGAGGACAGGAATAGCGTTTATAGAAATGAGAAGGAAATAGATGATGGCTAACCTTTGGACAGTAATATTACGGTTAGAATAAGTTGTGAAGTGACGGGAGGTTTTTCCGTCGGAGGTACTGGATTTAGATCTGTGCGTGCCCAATCTTCCAGACTCCAAGGGGCTTGCAGCAATTTTAAAGAATGCAATAATTAAACATTCAGAGTTAAAATCAAACAAGAGAACAGTCGTCTCACAACAAAGTCATTACAAAATGTAGGTCGCCTGTCGACCATCCTGCATTGCAATCCTCCAGTGAACAGAGGGTCAGACAAGATCGTCTGCAATATACTTCCAAGTCTTTGAGTCTGGGCAAAAGGGTTTCTGCATGCACGCACTCCCCTCTCAAAAAAACCCAGTGAAATTACATTTTGCTTCATGGATAGCAGGATACATCTGCCTGCTCCCTCAAAGATTTTCATTGGCTTTTGCGTGGCCCCCAGTTCCTCCTTCAGCTTCCACACTCAAAATCCCATTGAGCAAACAGATTCTAGTCATGAACGTGAAACAGCTGTTGTGGGTGATTTCTCAGGAAGTTAAAAGGAACCATACCAATTTAAAAAAAAAAAAAAAGTGACCCTAAAGAATTGGAATTTCCTTATGTATTTATTTTCCAGCTGAACGCATCCAGTTCAGTGTATCCAGGAGCCACCAGACATGAAAAATCATTGGGTAAATATCTTCTCACCATCCCTGCAATTAACTAAATGCTCCTTTCTCTGCTCAGTGCAATGCATTCCTGCTAAGTGATGAATTCTAGATGAATTCTCTTCCATCTGTCTGTGCTGATTATTTTTTACGTTACTCTCAATCAAGGAGCCCAGCTACGTTCTAAGCAAGATCTTTGCCATGCCTCTTGTGCTTTGCAAGATAATGAGCTAAGCTTGAAGTTTGCCACCCAAATCTTCCTTTGTGACTCAATGGCGCATA